TTTGATATTTCTTCCAATGCATTTTTCCCTTTCACGATGGAAACAAACTATATGCATTTTATCTTAAGACCTTCTTAATTTTCACCTTATTCTTGGGTGACTTGCCTTGGACCTTTAGCCTTTATCTTGGCCTTGGCTATGGCTTTCCTCTTGTTATTCAGAAAAAGACACACAAATTTTCCTTTCTCATGCCAATGGCAAGATGGATGGTGTGCCATGCCTTCATGTTGATTTGTGTTCACATCGTCCATATATCCCTTTCTCACTTAAAGGGCACCTCAAGAACTCTCAACATATATCTCTATCACATGTTACTTGCGTTCTTGGTAATGTGTAATTTGCCTTTCTGATTTTTGGAAGTTAAGGTTAATTAAGATATTTTCTTTGTCTAAGATCAATTCTAGTGAAAGGTTGATGTTTTCAGTCATGGTTTTTACAACATATAAAATAGCCAATACCCTCTTTAGATTGTTTCGATTCTAACACTTTGAACCAATCTAATCTTGAACCAACTTGAATTAAATAAATCTAATTCATTCTACCAATTTAATTTTGGGACTTAATTAATTTATTTTCTTATGAAAATAATATTTTCACATAAATTAATCCTTTTTTCATAAACTTGAGTTATAGAAATCTCAATCCCATAAAGCACGCAAAGTGTCTAACCCTCTAAGTTCCCATCACAATGTAGTGAACAATACCCCATAGATGAAGAGCAATAGTATCTAACAACCCATCATGGCCACCCAAAGTGATAGAAATGTCAATGATTTGACTAACCTTCCTATGACCAATCCACTTGTGTAATTCAATTCCTTCATCACTAATATCTCCATTAAGCAAGATTCATATTGTGTCATCATCCTTAGAACTTGATGTATTTTTGGAATTTTCAAGATAGACTAATTCAATAAATGAACTCTTTAATTCATGTTGTGGCCATAGACTTTAAGTAGTCTCATCTCAATCAAAGGGTCTAAAGATATCTCCTCTAATTAATTCGAAAAGCATAAATCCTATCTTAATTCATTCACTATTCTTATGTGATTCATGATACACTCAATAATTGTATTTTACTAACAACTCCTCATAGTGGTTATTTTTAACATCAAAGTACACAAGTTTTCACATAAAATAATAATGATCTAAAGTCAAAGGGTCACTTGTATTTAGGTCACAATTGAAATACTACTAATGACATGTACATGTAGTGTTTTCTTAATGGATCAATTTGGTGCAATAATTTTCTTTGAGCAACCCACATGTGACATGTGGCTTCATGAAAAGAAGTTTTGCCATGTAGCAAAGTGTCACATGTGTTAATCTTTACATTGATTGATATCCCATTTCAATAATGAAAATAACTAATGGACAGTTTTAAAATGTTACTATATATCACATCATATGGTTTTCACTGATAACGATGGTTGTTATTACCTTTTTATGTTGCAAGTATTTTAAGAAGTTTATTGATATTTAACATATGTAGAAGAATAACAATCAATGTTCGATAAAAAATGTTATAAATATAATGAGTATAATCACATATATATAAAAAGTCTTGTTAAGTTAATTGACTTGTAAGAAATATTCTAAATTTTATCGTGCAAATTTTGTTTTCATTTTCTTTCGTCGTCCTTTAATTTAAGTATAGACAGATGATAAGGGAAATGGTGGAGGAGAAGATAAAGTTCTACAAAGCAAGACTAGGGTAAAGGGAGGTTTGGCGATCGTCTTCGTTTTTCTTCACGGAGATATTTTCAACTAGGCTATTTCTCTCTCCTTTTTTTTCTTCTTTTTTTTTGCTCAGGACTGATCTTTGCATTTCTTTGTTTTTGCCCCAGATTTTTCAGCTGATCGAAATGGTGTTTTCAGTCTCTCAGCATGCGGAGAAGGTGGTGACCAAGTTTTAGCCCTTGTGCTGACAAAAAAGGGACGCGCTATTCATCACTAGTAGCTCGTGGACTTTGTTTATGATTTTTTTGCTTCTAAAAACAAGTTTTTTCTTTCCCCCTTTTTTTTTTTTTTTTGTTTGAGATTCTTCATGTTTTCTCACAATGCAAAACTTTAAGAATGTGTTTTTGAATTCAATGGAAAAAAAAAATAGTTTGGTTGTTTCTTTTTCTATTTCTTATTGTATTATTTATTTGATTAATTGCCAATTTTCACTCTTTTATAATGAAATGAAATTTCTTATGATTTATCTTTTTATAATTGGTCAATCAATTAAATATATTCCGATAGTACTTAAAATATATAAATAAGAGCAGATTTGTATAGAGAAATGAATTATGCTTTATATCAAGGCAAGAAATAGACATTTGTGCAAATGAACAGTTTTTCCAAGAGAACATTGATATATGTTAGAGACTTTTAAAGATGCATTTGGCATTTGCTTTTAATTTTGACTTTATTTTATGTAGTTATTCTTTAAAGGAAATTATGTTTTATACTCAAATCTAATGTTTATAAAAATTTAAAATTTAAGTTATTTCATTGTAAATCCTTACATAAGGCATGGGTATTATCTAGTAGAATGCTAAATGTAATAGGAAATTCCAAAATGGGAAATTTTTTTAATTAATTCTTTCAAATCCTTAGTTGGTTATACAGCAAAACCAAAAACTAATCCAATTTAACCTTTTTAATGTTTTAACTAAATTAACTAGTCCAATTAAATAATAGATTTAATTAATAAGAAGTTAAATGAGTAGATATCTATTAACTTAAATACCTTAATTAGGAGATAATGTTAAAAGTTAAAATTTTTATTATACTAAAGAGACAATTAACCCTTTAATATATACGAATCTAATCTATAGGGTGGGTGGAAGCGGTATGCTTGCTACCCACTCAGCCAACGTTCAACGGTTTTGAATTCTATTTTCCTTCCCTATTCTCTAAAAATTGTAGTTGTTTAAAAAAAAGTTAATCCTTTAATATATAGAGAAAATAAATTTACATAACAATTTTAGTTAGTTTTTAATTGGTTCGGATTGAATTTGTTTGGATCAATCAAATAGGCTGGGATATGAAAACTCTTATCCCCCACATTGCAAATTTCCACTTTTAACCATACTACTATTTTGGTAAACATATGCGAATAGGCCTAAAGCCATTAAAAATCCCTGTACTTATCAAAAAGGTTCATTATCATCCATACCAAAAACGAATTCGTAAAGATACCTGAATTTTAATAAAAAAAAGTCAAGCGTTGTCCCTTCCGTCAACCGCCGTTATCTAGAGTGCTGACTTGATATTAACGGCGTTAAAAGATTTACTATTCAGGTAGCAATTGGCAATTGAATTTATTTTCTTTCACGTGGGATCCACAATCAAAATGTTGAATGACTGATGTAGTCTTGTAGCAATTTAATCACTTAGATATTAAATTTTAATCAGATCAAAAATATTAAAAAATAAATTAAATTAACAAAAATTTTTTTAAAAAAAATTTGGTTAACAAAACACTTAAAAAGAAAAATACCATGGAATTAAAATTTAGATTTAGAATTAAAAGAAAATCAAATATGAAAAATCATTTCGTTAAAAAATTTAAAAATTTATAAACATTACTCTTCCCCTCTTTACTAGATTAATAGATATTTTTTTATATAAAATTTATTCTCAAAATAATAGTCATTTTTTTTCATATTTTAATAAAATTAAAATAAATTATAATCTTGATTAGTTACTAAATCAAAGTTTTAACTTTAATTAATAAATTTATAGTTAACTAAATTTAAAGAAAAATAAAAATTAAGATATCTTAATATGTAAAATATTAAGCATATTTATGAAATTATTTAAATACTTTTAATAAATCTTTTTTATGTTGATTTATTAAAAATATTTAAATTTTTTCTGTAGTATTCTTAATATTTTAATTATTCAACATTCTAATTTTTCTTAATCACATTGTAATTAATTTTTATAAGCTTAATTATTTGTTTTACCCTTTTATTGTTATAACCAATATTTTTAAAACCAAACTAGTGGTCAAACCATTTTGACCCTTGATTCTTAGTTCAAATGCTTCAAATTGTTTAATTGATAAAACCATCAGCTTAATCAAAATATTATAAACATATTATTATACAAAATACTTCTTGTGGAATGAGCTAACCGTAGTGGTTGGTGTCTTATTTTTCTTTGAAGAGGTACTAGGTTCGAGTTTCCCCCAAAACTAACTTTAATATAAGTGCTTTTAAAAATAAAATAAATATATCCTAAAGTACAGTGATAAATAAAATGTTGTTTATTAAGCGAACAAAGTTTTATTATGTGACATGGAAGATGGGAGTTTGATTCTAAAAGTCAATATCAATATTTTTGTTAAAATTTTTGAGATCTTTATAAGATAAATAACATTTCAAACACTTAATGACACAAGGAGTTCATTGTTTATGTTAAAGAATTGGATTAAAAGCCTTAGGGTTGCAAGTTCAAACTCTATAAGAAGCAAAATTTTGAAGTTTTTATACCCATGTTAAACGTCCAATCAAATAGTTTACTAATTTATATTGATTTAAGTAATTTTAATGGTTTTAAACGATTTAATTGTCTAAATAATTTTAAAAATAAACCTGAACTATTATACTATTGAGTATTAGTTTAACCGATCCAACCAATCGGTACAATCTAATTTTCAAAACAATGCTTATAACGTGTGAAAGATTAAAAATGTATTTTGAATGTTATGTCAACTATGTTAATTTCGTTAGTGCCATCTAAGCTGCCGTTAGTACCCAGTCGGCACTCTAGTTAACGGCGGTTGACGGAGGGACCACACTTGGCTTTTTTACCAAGTTCAAGGATTTTTATGAATTCGTTTTTGGTACAAGGATGATAATGAACTTTTTTGATAAGTTTAGGGATTTTTAATAGCTTTAAGCCTGGCGAATAAAATATGGAAAGGTTACTTTAGTCATTTGGCACACTAATTTCAGGTTACAAAATAAGATCCAAAATCACAGCAAACAACGCACCTGATTCAGGGATGAAGAAAACGGAAGAGATATTGGAAAACAAAATCAAATCCAAAACCAAAGCTTGAGGACGGCAACGCAACCCAATGGAGCCCCAGATTTAAAGCCCACCGAGAGGAGGCGGCGTCGCTGACACCCGCAGTCCTATATCCCCAATCCCATCATTTACCCGCTTACCATGCGGCGAGGCAGAGTCTCAACAACTACAAGACCCAGCGCAGATCCGCCGGCCCTCCAATCAGCAGCCAACGAAATCAGATACCGAGGAGTCCGCAAACGTCCCTGGGGCCGATTTGCAGCTGAGATCAGAGACCCATTGAAGAAAACCCGCGTCTGGCTTGGCACTTTCGATTCCGCCGAAGATGCGGCTCGCGCCTACGATGCTGCCGCTCGCTCCCTTCGCGGCCCCAAGGCCAAGACCAATTTCCCTTTAATCTCTCCCTATCCACCGCATCAGATCCCCGATCAGTCGATTTCAAAGTTTGAATCTGTCCATGTTAACCGGCCGACGTCGAGCAGCTTGAGTTCCACCGTAGAATCGTTCAGTGGACCCAGGGTTTCGAAGCCCAGTCCTGTGGCGGCATCCCGAGTCACTCCGAGGCGGCCATTGCAGCCTGATGATTGCCGTAGTGATTGTGATTCTTCCTCTTCTGTTGTGGACGATGATGATTGTTGCATCATCTCTTCTTCGTTCCGTAAGGCCTTGCCCTTTGATCTGAACCTGCCGCCTCCGATGGAGGATCTAGATTTTCCTGGTGATGATCTCCACGAGACGGCTTTGTGCCTCTGATTGTTGGACATGGATTTTAATTATCTCCCTTTTTAGTTGAATTCCGTTCAAATCCTTTGTTTCTCTTTTCTCGGATGGAATTTTCATGGGAAAATGATAAAAAAAAAAATGGAAAAGAAGGAAACTTTGTGGGTTGATGGAGAGGGTTTGGTTGCAATTTGCACCTTGCTATACTATATTATATTAGATTTGTTATGTTGGTCGATTTTGCAATCTGGGTTTCTTCAACCTGAGGAGCTTTGATTTTATTGTTTGTGGAAGGTATATATGATCTGGGGTTGCATCTCCAGATCTGGTCATGGTTTCCCCTCTCTTTTCTCATTTTCCTTTGTACAAAGTATTCTGTGAGTTAAAACAATAATAAATAGTTTTAGAATTGCAGACATTTTCTCTTCACTAACTTTTATCATCTTGCTTTCTTTTCCTCCTATTGAATTTTTTTTTTTTTTTTTGGTTTTTCATGTATTTGTCGGAAAACGTGTTTTTGGTAGTTCTGAGCCGTAGAGGATGCTATTGTGGCTGTATTTTAACATGTTTTTGGGATAAGAACCGAAAGCTTTAGGATTTGTGTGAGCCGTCTGTGAGGAAGCAATTAGATGGGTTGATCTTTTCCGGTGAGGAGATTGTATGCATTTTACTTTGATAAGAACATGTGATGCAGATTCTTTCCCAAGAACCCTGCACCCTTGCTAATCTTTTTCCATGCTCATCCTTGGCATGTGTCTGCACAAATTGCATTTGCGCAGCATATGCCTGCATCAATTAAATTTTAATGATGGATGTCTTGGCTTTATTGGTGTTCCTTCATTCACTGGTTGGTGAAGTTATTCAAGTAAAATGTTTGTACATGCCTGCACCATTTACTGCTAGATACCCCCTTTGAAAGCTCCCGGTTTCTGTAAATGGTGACTTCTTAGGTGACAGTCTTGTTTGCGGTGCCTGACTTGGGATCCCAGTTCAACGAATCTTAACCTACTCTTGCACTTGATCATTGCCAGGTTTATAGTGAATTGATGATAAATTTTTAACTTTTTTCTTCCCATTTTCTGTAATGCTCCTCTCTTTTGCTTGAAGTTGTGAGTCTGCACCAAACCAAAGTTCCCTCATAAAAATTTCATACTTTTCTACTCAGCTCATTCGTAAACAAAGTTTAACACAAGCGTATTTGCATGTGTAGAATGCTTCCCTCAAATTTCACCTATTTAATAAGTTCTGGGCCTTCGCCTCACGAGTTGATTGATTTAGATGGTTCCTAAATTGAAAATTCTCCGTTTTGATGGTCCGTCCAGAGAACGGATTTTAGTTTAGTGCATCGAAGAATTGCCTAATAATTGGCAGGGTGTTCTGTATTCTTTGTAAATATGGTTGTGTTTACACCGTTAATAACACCAAAATCTGAGGATGTCACATGTTCAAATGAGGCCCAATAATTAATTAAATTTTGCCATATCATTAAAGTCTTATAGCTGATTTTGAAATGGTTATCCTGTAGTCCAGCCCTAGACATTGTGGTAGTCTAGCGCCATTTATCCAAATTTAATGTAAATATGGTCATTTATTGAGTTTTGTTTGAATTAGAAAGTTTGGAGATTGAGTTTATTTGGAGTTAGATTAAGAATCAATTTTACAGCTGTCAAATAGAGGTGGCAAACATTATTAGAAAACAACATATAATTGATAAAAATATAATCAACAGCCAAAAAGCTGTTAACTATACTTGTATCATTGACAAAAACTCTATCGACTATGATAAAGTGTTGATTGTATAATTAGAATCGATAGTCAATAGTGGCTATCGAATACACTAGGTATAATCGGCAGTCAATAGTAGTTATTGAATATACCAAGTATAATTGACAGCTACTGTGGCTATCGATTATACAAGTATAATCGACAGTTTTTTCTTCAATTATAACAAATATAATCGATAACCACTATATGGCTGTTGATTATACAAACATATATGTTAATATATATATATA